TACTGCTGTAGACTGAAAAGGGCTAGGTCAAAAAGATCTACGATAAATCTGAAAAAAAAAAAAAAAAAAAACCCTCCCACTGCTTTCTTCCCATCAGCCCTGAAGGCAGTTACACAGATGACACCAGCCAGGAGCATCACACTCCTCGCCAGCGCCCCAGCCCATCAAAGACAGGACCGCAGAACCCAGACCCTCACGAATTTGACGATGAATTTGACGACGATGACCCGCTCCCTGTCATCGGTCACTGCAAAGCACTGTACTCATTTGATGGTGAGAACAGAGGGAAAGGTTCTCCAGTCAGAACCTTTTTCCTTCTCTCGTATGATCATTAGCAGAGTGGTGTGAATTTGATTTTTTTGTAGTTTAACACCAAACCTGACTGTGTGTCTGTGTCTGTGTTTAACTTCCAGGTCAGAACGAGGGAACACTGGTGATAGCAGAAGATGAGGTAACATTCTTTTGAAATATTAATCCAGAGTTTTTCTGCAAATATTTAGTCAGATTAAAATGTTCAGATGATTTTTGTTTTCAACATTTGTGCGGCAATATCATGTCAGTGTAGAATTATGTGTTCCATTTTTGAAACGTGTTAAAAAATATGATAAGAAGTTAATATGTTTTTAATTGTATAAAGATACAAATATTACACATAGCATTTGTGTCAAATTGATATTTTGCTGACTAAAACTAAAAACTTAAAACTGTTCTTCAGATTAAATAAGGGTTTAAACAAAGTTACAGTTCAGTCAAAAAGACTTCACAGCGTGAAAACTGCTTCTCAACATTAATCGTCAAAACCAAGATCCTCTGAGCCCTTCAGTCCCGCGCTGACGTTTTGTTGATTTCAGGTGTTGTATATTATCGAGGAAGACAAAGGTGACGGCTGGACGAGGGCGAGGAAGCAGAGCGGAGAGGAGGGCTACGTCCCCACGTCCTACGTAGACATCACCCTGGAGAAAAACAGCAAAGGTGCCGTCACCTACATCTGAAGCTGCACTGTCCTCTCCCCTGTCCTCCTCCATTCCTCTGTCCTTCCCTCCATCTACACTTTCTCTGCCTCAGCAGCTAACACTACAGAGGAAAAAAAAGACATCATCAACACACTGTACCTGCATGGAAAAAACTCCTCCTGGTGTCTTCTTTTCCACCCTGTCTCTTCACCCCTCTGTCCTTTCACCATCATCCTCATCCTCCTCACATCTGTGGGACTGTTTCGGAGGTGAGTCGTCTGAGAACTGAGACGAAACAGGAAAAGCCACACCGTTCTCTTCAGACAAAGTTTATCTTGTATTTTAAGCTATTTCTGTCAACGAGTGTGTGTTTATATACTTTATACATGTGTGTGTGTGTCTGTGTGTCTGTGTGTGTGTGTGTGTGTACGTGTACGTGGTGGACGTCCCTGCTGCTTTTTGAGCCTCAGTTAAGGGCTACGTCACTTTAAAACGATCAAAGTATTTCAAATTGTTCTTACTTTAAATGTGAGAAATAATTCACGTTGACTTTTTATTATCATAGATTTGTCTTTTTTCAACTTAACGATTTTAAGATTTCCCAAACATTAATAGCACATACTTTATTGCTTGTATATTTCTGTGTAGTTGCTCTGCTCCTGCACTTGTTCACGATTTTTTTCCTGTTATCTGTGCCATTACACTGAAAGGTAAAATTACAATCCCAAAAGTTTGTCTGATTTCCGCCTCATTGTTTCTTCAAACTCTTTAAAGAAAATGTAAAATCTCCTCTAAAGTTAGATTTTTAGCACTGACCTTTGCTGAGAAAACATTGTTACTGTCCAGACTTTCCAGAAATCAGCTTAAGGTTTCTTCAATCAGTGTCTGTGACTTTTATCTCTGTTGTCTCTCAGTCCAAGTCTCACAAACTGCTGCATCTTTAATCTTAAAACTTTGATTAAAATATTCACGTTTTCCTTTGAACCAGACTGCTGCTCAGAAGAGTCAACACTAAATTAAATAATCATAGAATAATAAAAAAAACAATGTTAAAATTAATCTTTATTTATATATTTTTTTACTCTTTATTGAGTAATGCAAAAAAAACCTGTCAAGTCAACAGCTGGTGATTTAAACCCCTCTTAAGAACCTTGTTGACCAATCAGAAGTCAGACGACACTTTATATCCAGGTGAACCAATGTGATGACTCTTGTACACGAAAAACAACAAACTTGTATTATATTGTTGTAATTATCGGTTATTATCTTCTCAGCTGTTAGCTTGATTTGAGCGTGGCAAAGAACAATTAAGGATAAAAAAATGATAATGAAGAGGAGAATATTTTTCTTTAGCTCTAATTCTTAATTACTGGAGCAAAATACTAAAAATTAGATTTTTTTTTATCTCTGTGATAATTGTATTTTCTTTTTGTTAGAGTGTTTTCTTCTCTTCTCCGTCAGTCCTGTTCTCTCTTCTGTGTGGGTTGACCTTGTTGCTCTGTTTCTCATCTGTCTGTTTCTTTTATTAACTGTCCCTCTCCTCCATGTGACTACAGGTTCCTGAGGGCTGCAGGGTGGCCGGGCGATTTGATTGGCTGGTGGAGGGCTCACACTGTTGCTGATAATTGGTGTTGCGGGTTTCGCAAGAGTGAGAGAGGTTGTGGGGGAAGGAGTGAGGAGAGGAAAAAAGGGGACAGAGAGGTGAAGTGAAGAGGGCTGGGGAACAGGTCTGCATGTCTGCATGTTCTCACCTCCGTGATCGGTACTGGGTGACTGAAGAACAACTGAGGGAGGGTGTAAGTTTGGGGAACGGATTGGATGCATTTCATCTTTTGATAGTACGCTGAACTCCTGGGTTTTGACTATTTGACCATAAATTAGCTTGACCTAAAACAACAGTCGGAGCAGTAATGACCCGGCTCTGTCCATGTAGAGCAGCTGCACCAGAGGTGCTGATGTCCAACTGACCACTAATGAGCTTAGACATACCAGAACTGAGAATCAGAGGTTCTTAAATATGTATTTGTTTAAACTCTCACATGACAAATCTAACCATCTACCAACTGAGTGATGCATGTGGAGTAAACTAATTCATTTACCTACTAATCTAGAACCATAAAGTATTACTATTGCAATTAGTCAAAGGTTTCCTGATTTGATCAAATTTAGTTCCTAGTCAACCTTCAGGGAAATAAATGTTGGGGTTTTGTTTTGTTTTTACCACATTTAAATCCCATCATGTTCTTCTGAACGCCAAAAGAATTAGACTAATAGTTAGTTGGTGTTTGTGTTCAAAATATCATTACAAGTACAATCCAACATGAAGCAGTTGTACAGACGGTCACATACTTACAGTATTCTTCTTTCAAACAGTTCTGACTCTGATCGTAGTGCCTGGATATTATTTGACCAGTCTGTTATTATTATTTGAAGGCTGACAGTACTCACTGACCTCAAACAACAATGGCATGCGTTGAAAACTTGAATCCATCTCTTGCCAGTTGACCTTCTTCCTCGGAGTAACAGGGTTTATCAGTACCAGGAACAGTAGCATTTATTTATTTTATTTTTTTGCAGCATCCGTGCCACTAACAAACAACGTCTGCATTTCTGTCTTGTCGTCATAATGATGTACATCTGTGCTCTGTTGGTGATGTCTGTCTGCCTGCCTGAGCCACTCTGCTCCTCATGCCTGCCCTCAACCCCTCATGAAGTTGCATGTTTTTAACTTGTCGTTTGTTTCCAGACATGTAGCAGGAGTCGTGTTCCATCAACGTCCATAATATGTTTGTGTGTGAATGCCTTAAAGTTGTGACGTTTCTTCAGACTTCCAGCATGAGAATGACTTGTTCATGTTTGTCTCCTAAACATCACTGGGTTAGTCTCTTAGCTCCTCCCCAGAAAGATAGCAGGACTATCAGGTAAAAACAGCACCTCTCTCCCTTCCTTTTCCTCTCTTCTTGCTTCTTTCTTACCGTTTCCCCCCTTGTCGAACCTTCGTTGGAGTTCCACCAGCAGATGGCAGCAGATTCTCTCCAAACGAAACCACTGCAGCTGAGCTCCACACGGACTGACACACATTAATAACAACAGCAGCAAACACGGAGCAGCTGTGGCGATCGTCGTTGTTGCAGATCAGACTCAGCCTTAAAATTAAAACAATATTTTCATGGAATTTTTTTTTTATCCTCCAGTTTATAACTTCCGTTTGACAACATGTCCCATCATGCACCTGTGTTGGCGACGCTGCTGCGTCTAGTATTTGTCCCGTTAAATTGGTTGTTTTTTGTGAATGTGACGACACAGACAGACACACGTGTTCGTCTGGATTTTTTTATTTTACATTTGTGCTGTTGATTTCGAACCATTGAATGAAATGTACATAGTGATACATGTCTTATGTTTAAGCTGAATGTGTTGCCATGGTGATTGTCTTTTGGTTTTTGTCCGAATAATGCTTTTTAATGAAACTAAAAGGTTTGATGCACTTTGCCCTTCCAGCAAATGAATCTGATGAAATGAACGAGTGAATAATTGATGAATGACTTTTAAGGTTTGCGTCCTTGAGCGTAGACGACTGTGATCTGGATGAATGACCTGTTTATAGCAGCAAGGGGAAAAAAGTAGTTTTTATCTTCGTCAGTGCTTTTTATACTCCTTTTTTTGTAACAAGCAGTGACCAACCGCCCCCTCTTTCTTAGATTTCCGACTTGAAACCACTCGTTATTTTTCTACAGTCCTGTAACATTAGTTTGCAGTTACAATTTTCATATCATGGCATTCAAGCAGCCTAAGTTCTAATCTGTGTTTTTGTTTGAAGAAGCTGTGAAAATGTATGATACGATGCTGTAAAGGTTACTTGAACTCTGCATTTTCTCTACAAACCGTGGCCCAGATCTAGTTTTTAAACTAAAAAAAAAACAACAAACCTGACATTTCAAAAACTCAACACTTACTGCAAATTTGATTTTGATTCTTTTAGTGTCTTAAATCGAATACCAGCTGTTTTTGGGGAATGTATAAAATCACAGACTTTGTAGGGTTTTTTTTATTGACTGTATTATTATTAATATTGAGTCCTTCTAAACAAGTGCGAAACAAAAATATTCACAGATTGTTTTCACCATGAAATGATTGTCTAAATAACATGTCTGTGATATTGTAAAGATCCCGGCCATTGAATATTCCTAGTTCCTTATTATTTATTGCTCCATGATAAGTAAGACCTATCCTTCATCTTTAAAGGCCGCTGATGATGTCTTCCAGTTGCTAGCTTTTATTTAACGTATGATCACAGAGCCCAAAGATATTCAAATATTCAGCTCAGAGGTAACCCGAGAATCTTTTGTCTGACTTTTTGCTTAATAAGCATTTAATTTATTATTGATAAAGTAGAAAGATAGTTTTTCACACTAAAACCAATATTTTGGTTAGTAATGTACATGTAAATATGCACAAAGCCCGGTCGACAGGGCTCTCCTCTGGTGAGTACGGACAGTGTTTCATGTCAACGTCTGATGAAGTCACGCCCACTTATCAATAACTTGTCTCCTTGATAAACTGCATTAAAGTTGAGAATGTAGCAGTTTAAAATGCTAAGGAAATGAATGGGTAAAATGAACTGTTTTCTTTAAGAATTAATGTTTTCTTTTGAATGTCTTACAATCCCGTTCAGAGGAAAATAGACAGTCTGTTGACATTTATAATGGGAATGGGAGTTATCTTCAGTTTTATCAACTGTGGTACAGAGGTACGTTCCCAACTGTTTGCATTCATTTCCCCAAATCATAATTTTCAGAACGATGCCTTTGCTAATAATTAACCTGTTAAAATCTGCTGTGTGAATATTGCATATTAGTGCTTCATATTATGCAGTAACACATACTAACAGATCAGCTTCCAGATATTCTAATAAACACATAATAGCACTTTTTTGCTTGGAAAAACCTACCACTTGACTCTTGTCGGTGAGTCCGTTGCTGTTTATTGTCCAGGACAAAACAGAACAGATTATTTGGATACGAGACATTCCTTTTTTTCTTTACTCCAAACGTTGACGCAAATATTTTGACAAATGTAAACAAAGAAACTATGGTGTTCCTTTTTTTCCACTAACACATTTTACAGTGGGTATAAATAGCAGGTACTTTGTTCAGACAGATTATTAACATTTGACAAACTCATGTACATCTGTGTATTTTTTACCAGTACCAATAACCTCCGTTCATATTGTTTTGTGAACATGTTTTTCTTTTACTTTCAGTGTTGTCAGACACACTTTGTGACTAAAAATGCTTTTTCCTCTCATTATTCTTCAGTGACGTTCTATTAAACCGTGCAACAACAAAGGTGTTTAGTCCTTGGTTCTTCCAGATGAAAGTTTTCTCCTTTATTCTCGTTGTATTCAATAACTCATTAAATTAGTTAAAAATTAAACAACAAAGTTTAATTGTATATTGGAAAATTGATTCATAATAATAATATTGAGATTAAGTTTTGCTTTTTTCGCAATTAATGTCTTGTTTTAGCTCATTCCAGCCTTTGTAAACTATTAGAAAAATAAGTAAATAAATAGATTTCCAAATAAATAAATCAAACTTTCTTAACCTGTGGCACCTCTTCCATTTCTCTTGATGGAGGTGCCAGTATTTTTATATTTTTATAGTATTTTTCTGAGTCCAAAAAAATACAGACACAAACTCCAACGGAACCATTTACTTTATTACACAATTAGATAAATGTCTTGTTTATTAAATCTTACCACATTTGATCTTATTATTATAAACATAAGAATTCATCAACATCTTTCTTTTTACAGTCTACAGAAAATATATACAGTCTTATTAACATGCTAAGGCTTAGAATATATACAACAGGTCTCTAACATGTTAACATTACGAACTGCTGAGAATCATATGTTTATTTGTTGTGTTTCTGTACAGACTGGGCTTTAAAATAAAATCACAAAAACTAACAAAAGACTTTTGTTAGACATTAATCAATGTTTAGTGGTTGCTTTTGACATATTAACCACTAAAAATGATAAATTAGAGAGATTATATAACATTAACCAGTTTAACAACCATGAACTAGTACCTGCTGATGTGACTTTGACACAAAATGCAAATTAAATGAAATAGTACTAAGTACTTTATGCTGCATATAAATGTTGGATGAAAACCAATGTTTCTTTAAACCTGTTTAACACAGGTCAGCGGTGACATCAACTTATCTTGCCCCCTATCGGTGCTGCCAGTGAACCAGCCCGTTCACACCTAGGGTGCAAAATCTGAATTCAACCACACGATGTCAGTAGTGACCTGTTCCTTCTGCTACATCCCTCCAGGATCTCCTTAAATTCTGGGGAGGTCCAAACTTGTCAAAACATTGAGGTTCGTTTAAAAGAACGCTGAATATTCTTCATATTCAGCGCCTCATGTGGTGAAGTTTGGTTGAACCGGATCAGCACCTGAGTCGTTCTGTCGTGATGGAACCTTGTGTTGATTTTACTGTCATCTCCATATCAGTGGAGTTGCACCCGCAGCTCTTTTCTCCACTGTCTCAGCTCGTTCCCCCTCCTCCTCGTGTCTTTTTGCTCCGTTTTATGGAGGCCACTGTGAGGTCTCCTGTGGGTTAAGGGATTAAGTCAGATTAAGGTCTGTGTTTTAGGTGGGGGCTCCAGTTTGCGTGACAAGGCCGTGAGGATGAGATTGAATTTGTTGTAGCGATCCGTCTGGTTGACGGAAGCCCCGCGGCTTCCCCACAACAGCCGCAGCTGGAAGTCGGTTTTAAAAACCTCCAGCAAGTCCTCGTCCACCTGGAAACCTAGAGACCGGGACACAGACGTCAGATCGAAGCCTCACTCAAATCTTTTCGTGACGACCGTTTGACTGTTTACCTTGTAAGATCCTTTGAGCGTTGGCGGTGAAGCTCTGCGCGTTGTGTGCAATGTCACGTGCTGACTCCAGGTGGCGCAGCATGATGTCACAGCCCTGGTCGCTGGTCTCCCAGAGCTCTGACCCCTCAGGTGTGATTGACGGACGCTCCATCAAAGTTAGGAGAGGAAGCAGGAGGGGGACACAGACCATTTGTAGGGAGGAGGCTGGAGGAGGAGAAGGAGGAGGAGGAAAAACATGAGTGTCTGCTTTGGGTTTGTTTTTTTCTTCTGCTTCATAAATTTAAAATATTGTGTTAGCCTGAATAAAAGATCTCCATGAACCTCAGCAGGAGAAGAAGACTTGTTTGTCATTCAAAATATTACAAAAATATTTCCTCTGCAATTAAATCAACTTCTAATTCAAAGTTTGTTTGACCTCAATCAAAGGTCAGAACATGTATAAGAATCAGGCAGCAGCACTGAACCATTACTTCCTGTGTTCTGTCAGGTGAAATGACTGTTTCGTCAACAGGTGCTGGTGCAGCACAGAGAATGGTTTACACCATAACATCACAACTTTTATTTCAGGCCTTAGTTCAGTTTGTTGTTTCCGGCTGCAGTTGATGTCAGAATTAGAAATGAAGTGTTTGAACAATATCTGCAAAAAGTTAAAATCAGACATCCCTAGTTGCCATGCTACAAAAATGTTAAGTGAGATGTAACTGTGAGATGAATCCATTTGAAGACGTTGAACCGTCTGCTGAATTAGCATTTCCACCTTAAGCATTTCTTACATTAACAATTCCTTTCAGCCCTGTGTAACCCTCATAAACAGCACATTCAAACGATCCCGACCTTTATCTCTTCGATTCTGACCCCCGTGTGTTTCAGTACCTGTGCCCTCGTACAGGCTCTTGTAAAACGGTTTGAGAGTTTTCTCGTAGCTGATGGCTGTCTGGGTGTAGTTCCTCCGTAGAGTTGTCCACGTTTCCTCCAAACGACTGATCTGTTGAGGACACAGCAGATATTTTACCACCTGGGTCAAAATCCCAAATGGAATCCTAGGCTTTCCCACAGCTTTGTCCCCCCCCCCAAGGCTGTAGGTGGTGGACTTGCTGGACTTGTCACCTGCTGCATGTCCAGAGCCTTCATCAGGGCTGTGAAAGCAAACAGGTCGCCCACGGTGTCCTTCAGCTCCACCGCCACCAGGATGATGCGATTCAAAGTGGACGCCCGCTCCTCTACGCTGCCGGTGCATCCCAGAATATCCACCGCTACACCTATGGCCATGGTGTGGTGTCTGTGTGGAGTGGGGGAGGGTTGGGGTGAAGATGGGTGAGAATCGTGATATTATTATTATTATTATTATTATTATGGATCTTTGTTTGATAGCATTTTTTTCTATTTATTTTTTCCATTAATTAAAGTTTTAGGGAAATGACTCTCCTTGTTTTATTTTGAAATGTTCCTGCTGTGTGCCTGGGCTTCACCTACTTCCTGTCTGTCAGGAAAGTGGCTGATGATCTGATGTGTTCCACCTGTGGTCACTCAGTGTCGCCACCTACCTCTGTGTCTGTCTGCTGTTTCTCTTCTCACTTTTCCTGCTCTGTTTATTATAAAAAAATATTTTCATAGAAAGTATTTTATAATTGTCTTGTGTCATGTGCTTAAAGAAAGAGACTTTTATCACTGTTTAAAAACAAATGAGGAAAGACGGAGCTTGTCTACTGTTGGTGAGTACTTTGACTTTTTTTTACAGTATATTCTGTGGTATTTTTAATTGTGGTGACATTTATTCACAGGACATTAAGTAAACTAAAAAAGCTACAGGTACTACACTAAAACTAATAAATATTCCCGTTGCCTCCAGAGTAATGTCCTGTTAAATTATTATTTTAGCAGATTTTAAAATGCCTGGTGGTTGAATTGTTTACTGTGTTTTTGCTGCTTTGTATTTTTGTTTCTTTAATTAAATATTTATATTTATAATATTTTAAATTTCTGGCAAAGTTAAAGACAAAAAAATGCAGTAATATAAAAATCTTGTACCATATTGGCATTTTTATCAACGTTTGTTTGCATTTTAAAAGTCATCCCCAACAACAAAATCTTTGAGTTTAATTGACGTCTTATTATGAAATCTCACCAAATTTGATCCCAGTTACAAATGCCAAATGAAAATAAGTTGAAAATCAACCTTTGCCCAAATCATTAACCTTTTTTCTCTACTGTGATGGTTGTATTTTCTCACTCTTGTAAATTTGGTGCACATGAACATGAACATCTCTTTTGTTGAGTTAATGCTGAACCCACCTCTCCATCAGATCCAACCTCAGCTGTCGACCGTGAGGCAGCGTCACCAGCTCCAGACCAGAGGACACGCCCATCAGACCTTTCAGGTCTGGAGTCACTCCCAGGATCCTGGCGATCTGAAGAACACAAGGTTTTTACACACATTTTTAAATTTAATATACTATTTTTAAAATGAATCTCCGGCATCATGACAATCTTTTTTTTTTATTCAGCAGAAACTCTGTCCGTTAAGGTGGACCAGAGTTGCAGGTTTGAATACCTGACAGTCAGCCAGCAGCATGTGTTTGGCGATGCTGTGGTGGTTGTGACTCAGCACCAGCTCCTTCGACTTCTTCAGCACCGCCATCTCCAGCGGTTTGTTTTCCGGAGGCAGAAGTCTGGTTTTGAACTCGGCCGGTCTGAACGTGGACTCCGTCTCTACGACAGGCCGCTGGAAGCTGCTCCTATTCTCCTCCTCTTCCTGCGGCCTCCGTCCTGCGTCGTTGTCCTCCTCCTCCTCTTCCTCACTGGTGTTTTCTAGGGCTGCGATGGCGTGGTGGTAGGAGCTTCTGTCCAGCCCTCTCTGTCCTCCTGCCTCCCCCTCGTCGTCTTCTCCCCCTTCTCTGCCTCCATCGCCTTCTCTCCTCAGTCGCTCCACGTAGCTGCAGAGCGGTGGCTGAAGCTCAGCGGTGTTGTTGGAGATGCAGTTCGGAGAGTTTGGTTCCAGCGGGCTGCGGGACCTCAGGTCTGCAGGGCTCAGCTGCAGCCGCTCCGTCCGTACTGATGATGAGTCTTTGCACTGAAGCAACTCAGGAGGTGAGAGCAAAGAACTGTGGGAGTCTGAGGGCAGGAGCTGGTGCTGGAACTTCAGGGGTTTTAGTGGAGGAACAGGTGGACCAGTGGAGGCTGAGGAAAAACAAATGGAACTGTTGGAAAGTTTTTCTTTCACAGTCTGACGAACGTAAACGTGATTAAAAATGTTAAACTCACCTCCGTTTCTCCTCCCTGAAGGTGTGTCCTCACACCTGAGAGGATCCAGAGAAGGTGCAGCAAAGATGGAGGAGACGGACGACGACTCTGTGTGGATGGAGGCCTTTAAGGAGGGGGCCACAGGCGGGGGGCAGCAGGAGCGAGGCAGTCGACACAGCGGGACTTTACTGGGTTTGGGTGGAGGTTTGGGACACAGCTGGCTGTCGGAGCCTCGGATCGCCTGACCTGAAGACGGAGACGGCCATATGTCATCACACAGAGAGGTCAGTTAGTTTGTCACTTGTTAGGCTCAAGTATCGTGAGGTGTTAAAGGGGCAAAACAATTTTTTGTACAGAGAATACCCTCTCCTCAATTTATATCAAGTTTCAATGCAGTCATTTTAAAAACAGTGGACGCTAACATGCCGTGTACGACGGCGGGATTTGATGTCGGTCACATGACATTCTGACAGATCTTCCTGCAGGGCAGTCAGTGGTTCTCAAACTCTTTTGGCCGTTCCCTACCTGACCCCGTCGCCCCAACAAAAATCTTGACAAATTACATTTCAAATGTATTAAACTAACACCATCATATTTATAATGAATCAAAATCATTATCAAACAAAGTTTGAAAAAAATAAATAAAAGTGCAGTTGTGACATCATCAAATTTTCTCCCATGTGTCTCTGTTCCCCCACCAGTGGGGCCCGCCCCACACTTTGAGAAGCACTTCTGTGGTATTGTTTGGGTTGAAAACTAGAATCCATGTTTTTGATTATTAAAAATCGTCACGTCGTGTCGACTGACTGCTCCGTTTGTCTACTGACCTGCCAGAGTCTCTGCCAGTCTCCGAGGGAAAGACGGACTCAGCAGCGGCTCGCTGCCGGTACGAAAGACTGGAGACTTGGGACCGGGGCTGGTGAGGAGCGAGTCAGGGGGAGGCTGAGGTCTGGGTTTGGACCCTGGAGGAGCAGAGAGGAGAGGAGGTAAGTGCTCACGTGTTTTAGTCAACCAAAAGTTTTATCATCGTTGTCAAATCGGTCAAAGAGTATTTTCACTCACCGAGAGGAAGAAAGCTCTCTGATTGGTGTGCTTTGAGTGGGCGTCGCCTCTCTTGGACATGGTTAAGGCTGGCTGGTTGGCTGCCACAGCGATCTTTAAGCCTGAGCAAAAGTTGACAAAGAAAATACTGAAAACTAATATCGTAAATGTCACATTAAAGTACAAATATTTTTTTCTTTCTTTGGTTTGGTTTGGTTCGTTCTCTGCCAACAGAATGTGTTCCTTTGCAAGTGACTGGGATCCATATATTTAGAGGAAAATAGCCCCAGCAGGTGGCAGTAACGCAACACAATAAATGGAGTGTCTTTTTTAATCATCAGGTTTTTTTGCTTCTTCTTGACGAACTTCAGTACTTTACTGTCTTTCCTGTGCTAACAGCTGGATTTAGACTGTAATTATGGGCATGTCTTTACCACTGGATGGCGCTAATTTTTTTAGCTGGATTTAGACTGTAATTATGGGCACGTCTTTACCACTGGATGGCGCTAATTTAAAAAAAAATGTTTTTAGCCATTTGTCTTTGTGTGTGTTTTTGTGGCCGTAGTCGTGTGCTAACCTCAGCTGACTGCTTCGTCCAATGCCGTTGTCCTGACAGTGTGTGACATCACTGGCGCCGTGTGTGTTGTCGTGATTGTGTCCGTTTGTGATGTTGAGGCTGAGTCGCTTCTGACTCCGCCTCTCCTGGGTCATTAGCGGGTCTCGGTGCGTGCCGGTCAGACCGTACTTTTCCTCCAGGCAGCGCAGAGGAAGCCCCCTGTTGATTGGCTGGAAGATAATGGCCCCCACCACCTTCACAGAAACAAACATTTACATCTGAGACAAGACGAGTCAAACCACAGGAAATACCTTCTCAGCAGTCAAATAGTTGTTGCAAAAAAAAAGTACTAAACACGAAGATGAAATACTTGGAAATGTACCTGAGAGACAGGTTTCCTGTTGCCGACGTAGTATCTGATGAGTGCAGGGACACTGTCGAAGCCCTCTCTCTCCAGCTGGTACTCCACTCTGGAGTAGGCTTCGTTCAGCATCACGACCTGCACCAGACAAAGGACAGTGACTCTTTAGAAAACGTCACATGATCTGACACGGACAAATCAAATGTTTAACGTCTCCCAAGTCTTAACCAGTGAATGGATCCTCGGTGGAGTTCTCACTCCTGACTTCTGTCTCCTTCCTCCTCACTCTTAGAAGCCACATGTTCTCACCTTCTTGTTGATTTTAAAGTGCTGGGCGGTGTTCCTCCACTGGCACGTCAGAACGTAACTTCCTGGGACTGACAGCGAATCGCGGATTAGAAAATCTCCATCACGCTGCACCAGGTTTTCCGCCACCTGAAATGATACGACACGTGTGACGTTAGTTTACAGTCCAAACATTTCCTTAAGTCTAAATGTTAGCCTCCAGTCACGGGAACATCCTTATGAGCTTTTTTTATGAACTTGATTGTTCAGTTTCTAGCTAGACGGGCTAACGTGATTGTTTTTTGCATAATTAGCTGCGTATGGCTAATGTATGGTTAACGCCTAGCTATTTATCATTATTTTGGCTTTTTAGTGTTAGCCAGGTACAGTTCGCTAACGTGGCATTATTAAGGCTAACTTTTACAGTTTACGTCTAAGTAAAGGGTAAATACGTATAATCCAGAACTGAAACTGAACTGGAAACACGCCCCCCCCTGCCCTCCCATGACCCCCCTCCACACACACACACACAAATGGACACACTTTAATTAAGCTTGTGTTTGTGTTGTATATAATGGTCGTTTGGTTCGACCAAAGGAAGCAGCTTATTAAATATGATTACATCTTAGAGCTGGCTTTCACAGGGGACACACACACACACACCCTCCCTCAATACACACACACACACAGACACACACCCTCCCTCAATACACACACACACACACACACTCAGATCTTTTATATATACATATAGAAAATATACAAAAAGAGGCTTTTTTACACTTTACACTTTACACGGACACACTGTTACAACATCTCTGCAGCCGCGGCTTCTGTTAAAGCTTAATCATCCTCTGTGTGTGTGTGTGTGTGTGTGCAGTCTAATAATAGGTGATCTGGTTCAACAAGATTTTAACAAGGCTTGTAAAGGGAGGGAGTCAGGGATCATATTTACACGTGTGTGTGTGTGTGTGTGTGTGTGTGTGTGTGTTTTACCTGTCGTGGAATAGCTCCGTGGTACCATGCGTGACTCCTGGGCTCCTCACAGTTCATCTTCAGCTCCTCCTCCAGCTCCCTGCGGAGCTTCTCTGATGGACAGTCCAAAATAAAATGTTCTCTGGAGAACTGAGGAAGGAAAAACAAAACCTCGGTGAAATAAACAGGACTTTTGTTTCAACTACGGCTCCAAAGAAAAGTGATTTTTCTTTTCTTTGGTGCAGAGATTTTGTTAAAATGAAAACCATGACTGAAATATTTACACTAATACTATTATTGCAAAATAATTAAAACCTCTTTCATTAACTAAGAAAAAAAAAGAACCTCACAAAATCTGAATTATTTAGTGTGAAGAACAAAAAAGTCCTAGTGATTTATTTACCACAGTGTTTCTAAAGTGATTTCTTTTTAGTCTTGACTAAATTTTTCCAAATTATTTTGCTAATCGTGTTTGTGCCAATCATAGCATTTTTTGTAAAATAATTACTTTAATGCTTTTCGTCATTTTGTTCAATTTTGGCGAGTTTAACTGAATTTATGTTAAACAAAAACACAAAGTGAAACTCATCTGTAATATAAGGTTTGTTGTTGTTTAGGTTTGTTTTTCTCTCCTCCTCTTCCTCGTCTGTCTCCTCAGAATCATCTTGCAACCATTAAACCGACCCGAATGTGTGGAATAGAATTATAGAAACCGCTAATGTAGCTGTAGCAGCAGTGAAACACACAAACCAAGTGTCAGTAAATCAAGAAGTTCAGGGACTCCCCCGTTTCTTTTTCTTGGTGATTCCACTCTTTTAGTTGCAGCAGAGAAACGTTTCTGAACTCAGATCGCTTTCAGACTTTCAGGAGTTTATTCTCCCTTCACTTTGAAATGAACAAACTCCCTGGACAGAAACCCATTGCCCTACACTGTTGACACAACACTGTTAAAGGTGTCATATTTTTCTTAAATCTTTTTGTTGTATATTTTTTCTTGAGTAATAGTTTATTTATAACATATTTTATTATACATATGTATTTATAACAGTATTATTTTATACAAACGTTAAAGCCATTCAAAGCTAAAGAAAAAAAATGAAATAAAAAAACAATCTTCGTCTTAGCTTCATAATAGGACTTACAATATGTACTGCAGTACTTTCATTACTGTAGTACAAGTTGTATTTCATTTAATAATTTATCACCAAACCATTCAACAGAGCTTAATAATCTACAATGGATTTCATCACAGAGAGAGAGAGAGAGAGAGAGAGAGAGAGCTTTAGAAAAGTTTGATCAGAAAGAAAAACTCAAAAAGCTAACGTAGTGACGGAGTCCAGTTTATACCTGACAGGTCACACACACACACACACACACACACACTTACATGACAGCTGCTGGGCCTCCGTGTCTTTCCATTTGTCTCCATTTCTCAAACACTTCATATCCAGTGCATCTACAGTCACCAACACTACAGTTCTATCACACACACACACACACACACTCACACTCTTACGCAGCGCTCACCCACACACTCTCACTCTAACACACTGTCTGACTAACTCTCTGGCATTTCCCTTCTTTTTTTTTGTTTCCTCCACCTGCTGCGTCACTGCCCTCACCCCACCCTGCTGCTCAGACCTGCCTCCATACACACCCACTGCACACCTGACCTGACAGTGGAATGACTCAGACAACACCTTCAACTGACGAGTGAGTCACGACTGTTCTTGACCCAGTTCTCAGAATTGTTGTATTGGTGCAGTCAAAAAACAAAAAACAAACAAATTAATCACATTTGACTCATTTATTTGTTTTTTTCTCTTGTTAGTTTTGATTTGATTCTGTATGAGAGTCAAACATGACGACCCTTCAGGTTTGTCTCCCCGTCGCCACCTCTCCTCCCTTATTCAGCTGTGTAC